ACCCCGCTCCACCGCCCCCATGCCCCAGCCCATCTGCCCGCCTGCAGCCAGCAAGGAGGCTCTGGACGGGGCCTGTCTTTAAAAACCCAGCCAACAAAGCCACGGGACCGTATTAGAATTTCAACAGACATTTTTATCCAGACAGGAACCTCTCAAACAGAACAGAGAAAAGTTAGGCAGCAGTTATACATTCTTTGTCAAATGATTAGCATACAAGAGACCAAGCCGCACTGCAGGGCCCTGTCACACAGCCAACCCCCTCCTGGAGTAGCCCCTACCCACGCTGCCCACAAGGACTCTCCACTTGGCCCAGGGCTGGCCCGACTGATGTACAGGGCAGGCAGCAGATACGGGTGACAATCTCATCCCTGTATCCCGCAGATTCACGTCCTGCCCGCCTGACCCCTTGCATTCCTCCTGTGTGGGAGAAGGAACTGTTCCTTTCTCCCCGTGGGTGCAGACTAGGGTAAGGACTGAAACGTGACAAAACCCACCAGGGGCTAAAGGCCAGGTCAGCGCCCACATTCAGGCACCAGGACTGCAGCGAGCAGGGCGGGGTATGCCACCTCCCAGGGCTGGAAAGAGGTGGAGGTGCCCAGCCCTGCACTGAGGGGCCTCATGGCAGGAGGAGAACCACACAGGCCAGCTAAAGGCCTTCAGCTAGCACAGTACCCAGAGAGAAGACGGCACCTAAGCTGCCAAGAGCTGGGGTCGGGCACAGTCCAGGTCCCACCCTAGCCCACGCAGTGAAGGCTGGCTGCCTGGCACTTCTGTGGGGTAGAGTAGGACCTCCTGGGTGATCAAGAGCCAGCATGGCAAGGGAGACAAGCTCAAAGGAAGGGTTCACGAAGATGAGACCACGCTGGTTCAAACTTTGGTGACACGGTACCATCTCAGCAGGGACTTTGTAAGGACAGGATCCCAAAGGTGCAGCTTGAGCTTGTGTCCTCAAAAGCATGGAGCATAAAATGGGCAGTCCAGAACATGGCACTGCAGCCTGGACAAGCCTCTCTCACGAGCCTGTCTCTAGCACTGGGCAGGCCTCCTGTGAGACAAGAGGGGCTTCTGAGTCCCAGGAGGCCAGACCACTCCTCGGCCTCCTCCCCCTACAGCTGCCTCTGGCCAGGAGAGGCCCAGAGCAAGCCCTCGGCAGAATTCCTGAGGCCAGGCGGCCCTTCTTCTGAGCTCAGAAGCAGGATGCAGAGGGCAGCTGGAGACACCTCCCACCTGTGAAGATGCCTGGGTCCCACCCAGGCAGCTGCTGAGACAGTCAGGCAGCCAGAGGCAAATAAAGCGGTTTAGAGAGACTGCAAGACCCAGTGCTTTGATCCAGACGTTCAAGGTAAAATCCCATTACAACTCAGGGCAGACGCCACCCAAGCAGCTCCAAGAACTCTGGGTTGGATTCGGCCTGTAGACAGTTTCCAGCTGACCAAACTGTGGGACACATCCCATTTTCCTGGGCCTAACTCCCAACCTGCTGGCTGGGATGGCCACTACCTATGTACCCCCGTGAGCATCTCAGCTCCTCCAAAAACCTCCACCGAAGTCACCTTTGTGGTACTGGATGAAAACATTGCTTGGGGTGGGCCTTGCCCTCCAAAGAAAGCCGATCTTCACAAAAATGGGAATAGAAAGGTGGTCTTAGCAACCTGTGCTGCCCGGTGGCTGCCTCCTTAGGACACCTGCACCAATCGCCTGGCCACTGACCGCCCCGCAGTCGCACGCCTAGACAGAATGTGCCCTAGCGCTGGCCTGCTGCCCTGGTCTGGTCACCGTGGCCTGGAGAGGCTGTCCCAAGAGAATGTGATCTTCGAGCTCGGCCCCAGCCCAGCCCTGCAGCCCCACTACAATGAGGGAACACTTTCCTGCTTGCTGTAGTGAATTTCTTCTAACATTAATAAAATTAATATACAAAGGGTCAAGAAAGAACTGGTTGTGATCTTCCTGTGGTACTCTGTTTAAGTCAGGGGCCCATCAAACCCTTCCTGGGGACAAGAGGGGGTCTGAGAACCACGTCCTTCAGCATCTACAGGAGTCACCGAGAGTTTATGGTTTCATTTGGCCCAAAAAGATGCCTTTGGGGGCCTCAAATTATCTTTCCAGAAATTACAATTCGACATATGCATTTGAACATTCCCCCACCCCCACCAAACCTTTCCACTACCCTCCTCAGTTCCTCCCAGAAAACTCCCAAAATAAAACGTGAAAACGTGTCCCCAACTCTGGATCCTGTTCTGTGACAATTTCTTCTTTTCTGGGCGCTTTACAGTTCTCGTTGTGAATGATGGTGCCATTTCCAGTGCCGGGGTCTCTGCTGGCTGGCATCACATGATCCCACAGCACGAGTTTTGTTTCCGGGCCTTGAAAGAAACAAAGAGGAGTTGAAAAAGGAGGATTCAGGAAGGCAGGGTGGCCCAGCACACCCCCTCACCCTCCTCCCCACCCGCCAGCTCCACACACAACAGAGTGAGCTCTGCAGGGAAGGGGAGGCCTCAGGGCTACAGGCTGCCTGCAGGGGCTCTGGAACCTTCTGCAGTGTCCCCTGCCACTGAGGGAGAAACTGGAGCAAAGAGAACAATACCGTCCTCCACACACACCTCCAGGAAAACACCTCCACAGCTCACTTCATCAAGAACAAGGTAAGCTCGGGTTTTCAATGTGAATCTTGGAGCCTTACCTTTTCCCCCCACACCCATTAATACAAACTGCAAGTGAGTAAAATGCCTGCTGTTAAGCCAGGTATGGAGCCCTGGTGGCACAGTGGTTAAGGGTTCAGCTGCTAACCAAAAGGTCGGCAGTTCAAATCCACCAGCCGCTCCTTGGAAACCCTATGGGGCAGTCCTACTCTGTCCTATAGTGTCTCTATGAGTCAGAATCGACTCGACGGCATTGAGTTTTGTTTTTTTAAGCCAGGTACAGGCTCAGAAACAACAGTGCCAACTGAACTGTCTGAATCCCCTAAATTGCCCCCAATCCTGTCTTCCACCAACACTCCCTGCTCACCTTTGCCCACTCTTCGGAATCACTTACAGACGGCTCTGTTTACTAGAAGAGGGTCTTCACGAGGACAGACATGGGCCCCACTTGGGTCCATATGGAACTGCTCTTACCACCTTCTCTTGTGTCCCCTGGTCGCAACTACACCCCAGCCCTGCTTGGCCATGTCCCTCCAACGCAAATGCGTGTGGATGGATCAAGTAAATCCATCCCTACTACTGTTAAAGCAATGGGCCAACAGTCACTCTCGTGCAGGAAGACATCCGTACTGACCTGCGAGAAAAACTGTCAGTGTGAACAGTCCTTGCCAATGAAACACCACCGTCAAAGGGGGATTAACTAGGGGCCTAAGCACCTTTTTAGAAAGCCTAAATTACTGGCATCTTAAGGACTTACCCTTAACCCCAGTAATCAGAAGTGGACCCAGCTTCGCCTTCCTGTGGAGGGGTATGTGTCTGAAATCAGCACCAGGGGTGGAGTGATGGCCGGTGGAAGCAGTACCTGAGCACACCTGCTGTCACTCTGCCTTCCTGGGACCTGGCACTAACCACCATGGCCCGGACACTGCACAAGGGGTGGATGCGAGCCGCCGTTACAGGCTATTCTGAGACCTGTTCTTAGGGAGAGTGCCTCCAGGGACAGCACACTGCCGCTGCTCCGTGGAGATGCGCCTCGTGGGAAGCGGGGCCAGCACTCACCGTTTTATAGAAGGCTTTGGACTGCGTTCCCAGCACTTCCGACTTGGACACCAAGTCATCTAGCTTCTCGCCTCGCTCTAACAAAGACTCCATGGTGTTGTGCTGGACAAAAGAAGAGAGAGAAAAGAACTCTTTACTCTGGTCAACAAGCCAACAGTAACATTAGCCTCTCGTGGTCAGCTACCAATAGCCTGACAGGCTTGAGTGTGGGGCACTTGTTTGAGAGCGTGGCAGGAAAGGACGCCAGAGGGGACAGGACCCAGACCTTACAGGGGAGCTGATTCAAAAGATGCTGAAGGATTTTTTCCAGTACTCTATTACACTTTGGCTTCTTTCTCCCCCCTTTTCTTTTTAAAATTTTGTGGTAAAATATATATAACAAAGATCTTGTCATTTTAGCCATTTTTAAGTGCACAGTTCAGTGACATTAGTTACTTTCACCCTGTTGTGCAACCATCTATTTCCAGACGTTTTCATCAACCCAAACACACTGAAGGATTTAAAACAAAAGAGTGAGAGGTTGATGGCTACTATCTAGGGGGCAGACTAGAGGTAGGCGGGGCCAGAAACAGGGGAGCAGTTAGAGGGCCATGACTGGAGTTCAGGCAAAGACCACAAGGGCCTCAACACAAACTGAAAAGTGAACAGCTGCCCATGTGCTGAATGTAGCACAGAGTTAACAACAACAACAACAAAACAGAAGCAGCAGCTACTAATCAGAAGATTTCACGTCAAAATGCTGGGTCCAGCTATCCTTCCAAAACTGGTGTACCTGGCAACTCTGGGCCTGTGTCACCAGAGGCACAGCTGCCCCCTGTCAGTACAGACACACTCTGGTTGGCCTCCATGCTCAGGTGAGGCGCTCGCCTGGTCTCTGAGGGCATCCCAGCTTGTGAACCAACCTAACAAAGGCACCAGTAGTGACAGTGAAATGTTCGCAGCCTGATCCAGACGTAAGGTGGGTGCCATTAACCAAGACGGACAACGGGGAAGGAGGAGCCAACCCAGGGCTGCCTGAGTGGGTATGGGTTTGAGGGCTCTGGTGCATGGGGGAGATAGGCAATGCCAGTTTCAGAAAAGTGCTCTCATTACTAATAAAACAAATCTCAACTCTCCAGGCTTGATCTGTGACAAGTCCCTTATACCCTCAGTTTTCAAATACGCTCTGCACCCTTCTTGCTTACCAGAATGATTTTGGTCTCATCTAGTTCAGCCTGCACTTTGCTCACGGGGTCAGCTTCTCGGGGATTCTAGGAAGGAGCCAAAAATAAGTCAGGACTGGAGCAGCCACCCTGAAAACAAAGCTCCCAACAGAGCAGGACACTGTGTGCCATTAAGGACCACACCTGTTTAAACACCCAGCAGAGACAGAGCCCACGCTGAACTGCAGCATCCCAGGTCTCAACGCACAGTCTCTGCGTTTTTCAAAAGAAGGTTCAAGAGACAGTACCAGCGACGGAGGCTGTAAGGAAGTCACCAGAGCCAGAACTCTCAGGGCAGTTGGGTGTTTCAGCTGCACACTGACCCTGGGACACACACTCTCCTCCAGACCGTGTTTCTTTAAATCTCACCTGGTATTTACTAAGGTGATCATCCAGGGCTGTGTAGTGGATTGTAGCAGGGGATCCCACTGGCCAGTCTATCCTGTCAACTTGCTTGGAGAACTCATCTAGTACCTGCAAGACAAAGGACCCTCACCAGTCAGCCCACTGTGTGCTTACCTACGCCTGCGGCACTGGCTGGAATCCAGACAGCCTCACCCCAAAAGAGGCACCCAGGCCTCCCAGAGCCCAGGGAAGAGATCTAACAGCAAGGAGGAAATCTAGGCTAAAGTTCCCCTTTCCAAAAGTTTTAATCATTAAAACATATGCTAAGTACTCTGGGAATGAAAAAGTATGCTCAGGCTAAGATGAACTTCACCCAGTGGATGATAAAATCACTGGAATTTTAAACTACACATTTCCGACCTTTGTTTATCAGATTATAAACTTCCAGGAAAAAATGTACACTGGTTTTCCAAAGCAATTCTTCAAAAAGGGAATTAGGCCCTTTAAAATGTAAGCAGCCATGGGATTTCATGTGGAGAATAAGACAAGGTCTCTGTCTTCAAGAAGTCTATGATCAGAAAAAAAAATAAATAAATAAATAAAAAATAAAATAAAAAAAATAAAAAAAAAAGAAGTCTATGATCAGCACCACACAGAACATAAGTGCTTAAGTGCTGAGCTCTGTGGAGGTGACTGACATCAGGGGAGAGAGCTACGGTAACTGTGGGAGCACCATGGAGAAAGTGAGCCTTGAAGGAGTCAGAGAGCACTCAGGGAGGCAGAGGGCACTCAGGGAGGCAGAAGGCACTCAGAGGCAGAGGGCAGGTGCCCCCAAGGCAGATCATGGAGCCTGGTGAGGTATCTAGAAGGCACTGAAGGCCTTTGGGGCCCAGAGCCATGACTGGGAAGGTGTGGGCAACAGCAGGATCCTGAGAGTGGAGGCAGAAGAGTCAAGAGGCAGGACCAGGGATGAAGGGATGACACAGGGGTACAGGAAGGTGTATCCAGGGGTTCCATTTCAAAAGAAGAGATACTGTGTGATTTAGTGGCAGGCAGAAGCAAGACAGGAGAGAGGAGCATGAGAGGCGGCTCTAGGGATCCTTGTCTGGACACAGGTAGTTTGAGGGGCAGAAATTAGCACCAGGGAGGGGGCTGGGAAAGGGACATCCAATTGTTTCTTGGTTTAGGGCAGGGAGAAGAGCTGATAATGAGTCTACAGTATACAGGAATGTATTTCATCCCTTGTAACTCAGGCACCACGGTCATCCTGACCCCACAGCCCACTAATGTCACCCACTCAGCTTGTCCAAGTCCAGCCCAGCTGAACACAAACTCACCTTCTCTAGCAAGGTAAAAGCCACCCGGGAAGGATATTCACTGTCAGCAATGACCACACCTGCGAGGCTGTCGTTTCGGACATAGACGTGGCACAGATATTCTAAACAGCAAGAGATCGGACACAAGGAGGGTGACATGAGGGCTTTAGTTAGAATTTTTAAAACCACAAAAAATCGGTCAAAGCATCACAATCCTGGGCTCCTGCCTTCCGGACTGAATGCAGCCACAGTGACATTCAAGAGCTCAGGAAGGTTTCAGGATGAGGTTTTGGGACAGAGTTTCAGGAGAGGCCCCATGGCGCACGCAACACACGCAGCACCGCGCACTGGAGCACCGCCGTCAGCCTGGCCCCACACTGGTTTAGGACCAGGAAATGCTCTGAGGCCTGCGTGTACAAGGCCTGGGTCTAAAGGAGCTTCCAGTGGTGCAGAAATACACCCAGGGCAACACCCAACCTTGAGGTCAGGCCTGACTGTGCCTCAGGGGACCACAGCCCTCAGAAGCCCTCCTTTGTGCTGCGCCCAAACTCCGAGCACCTGGACAAAACAAGCAGCTTCTACTTTCTTAAACAACCCTCCCACAGTGGCAAAAAGGAAATCACCTTCCAGGGCCTCAGGCTTCCATACCATAGCAACCTTGCTCAGCTAGCTCCAGAAATAAGCAGACAGATAAAGCCCATATGAGCCACTGCTGGTGGAGGTCTCAAGTGTTACTGTGCTGAAGTCATCATAGGATTAAAAGGTGCAGTCTGTACAAGGGCTTCTAGAAAATATTCACAGTCCGTAGAATTATTAATTTTCCTTCCTGTGAAAGGATTCAGTTAACCAATACCTCCAAACAAGGATCATAACTTACTAAGAACCTTCTTGTCCTTAAGAATCTGAATTAAGATCCCAGTGCTGAACGAGCTAACAAATAAAAGAGGAGAGGAAGAGATTCTGAATCTCTTAAATCAGAAAAGGGCAGAGATTAGAACAGGACAAAGGGCAGGAGAGGAAATTAGGAGATTATCATTAGTACTCTCCAGACCTTGGTTACATTCCCAAATAAGACTCAAGCGTGGGGTCACACAAATGCACACACTTCACAGACAAACTGGGAAACTGAGGTCAGGGTCTGAGGAACGATAAGGTGGGAAGGGCAGACACAGTCTGAGGAAGAATTGCGAGATATTTAAATGTTCATGATTCAGTTTCATTTTGGTGATATAAACAATACAGGGATCCCTCATAGGATATACATTTTCAATACTGCCTTGCCTTATAACTGATACCCATACTAACAATACAGTAACTTCACATCGCGCTAACTCAAGGCCAGGGCAACCACGTGTGAGATCGTCTTTCTGTCTGATAAAGTTCATGTACACCTTCCCTAATCAGTTTATAACATATGCCTCTAAAATAAGCACCAAAAAAATCTTAAGAAAACCTGAATTATGAAGAGGGAAGATCATCAAGTTTTCAGATTCACAGTCAAAAAATCTCAGGAGCCTAGGATGCAGTGTTACTTAGAAAACTCTATCTGGAAACGCTACTCTGAGGGGTCTACAACTCTGAAGGGAAAAGAATACAACATGAAGGACATTTACTGATCTGAGACAGTAAACCCTCACCTTAAGTGAATCCAAGCTTTGGGGACAATTTCACCCAGGAAGGCCAGACTTCCACAGTGGGCACAGAACTATGCACAGGCAGCAGAAGGAGGAGGGGACAGAGGACAAGTTGGATGAGAAGTGGGCTCCTGTTCTCCCTCATGAGGTGACAGCGTGTGCCGAGGGCTGTGCGTGGCCTGCAGTGTAGCCACCCGAGCCGGCCAAGTACTCAGGAGATGGCTGCTCCTATGGCTTCTCAGCCTTTTGGCCAAGATCAAGTGTAGAAGACGGCTGTTCCTTACCTTGTTCTTTGACAGACGCTCTGCTGCCTTTTGCTGAGCGCTCCACAATCAGCTGACTTGTAAAGGTCATGAATTCCTGAACACTAAGAAACAGAGCACACATTACCTTCTTTCGGTCACCATGTCAGTAACAACGGAAAAGTGACCTCTGGGTTTATGTCTTAAGGTGACATTGATTCTTGGTTTCATTCTTTTCCCTCCCAACAAATAATCAAAGCTCTACAAATGAACCCAAATACAAGTATTTACGAATCATCACCACCATTTAAACCACATCTATTTGCTACCTAGCTCACCAAAACAACCCACCTGCAGACTCTTGGGATATTTTCTACAGGCTAAAGTCAATGCAATGTTCTGGTCAGAGCACCGTTTGGGACACAGTTGAGAAGGACAAGTAAAAACTGCACTGGAACAACACAAGTGGCAACAAACTTAAGCAGATGCATAGCCACCTCTGGCTGTGGCAACAGGAAGAACACTGGCAATGCCCTCACAACTGCAGTGAGTGCTGGCTCGACCCCAGTCTGCATAGGAGGAGCCTGGGGCACCCTGGAAGGAATGGAGGGAAAGGGCTTTGCCAAGATGAAGAAGTGGGAAATGGCCTGTTGCAGCAGGAGAAGGTTCAGCATGGGCCCAATAGAGAGATCCATGCAGAACGGAGCAGTCACAAGGGAGGGTCCAGCCAGAGAAACACAGAGGTCAAAGGCACCTCTGACTGGGAAGGTGACATAAAAGGCAGCTAGGGCCCTTCAGAGCAGGGTTCTCAACTGGGAGTCCACAGCAGGGCGTCAGCAGGTTTGTAAACTCCCTAAGATTGCACTGAGAGGCCATGTAGAATCCTGAAGAACCCTGACTGTGGAACAGACTGCCCAGGTTGGGATCCCAGCTCCACCACTTACTAGGTGGGTAACTGTGGGCAAGCTACTCACTGCACTGTGCCTCGTCTATTAAATCAGGGTTTGTCGTGAGGACTGAATGTAAAGTACCTAGCACAATGCCTGGCATGCAGTATTGCTACTATCATTCTGAGAAAATGATATGATCAAAGAAATCCCTTAGAGACAAAAGTCCCCAAATAAAGAAGCCTTTGCAGAAAAACTAAAAAGGGACAGGGTTTAGAGTATAACGGGGATCAGACAAAAGAAGGGGTGCAGTAACTGCGAGAACCTGCACAGGAGGGCCAGAAAGGTTGGAAAACCATCCCAAGGTTTTAAGTTTGGGGCATGGAAATCATGGGGCAGGCAGGTTGGAAGTGAAGAGGCCTTACAAGGAAAATAATGAGCTCAGCTGGAACTCATGTTGTTTTAAGAGATGCTAGGAAAGATGTCCTCTTAATGTTGTAGCTGAAGTGGGTGTGGGTATCCCAAGCCAGGGTCCTACAACAAAAGCTCTGAGAATTTTTAGTATTAATGGGCAGAGGGAAAAGACAAGGAATTACAGCTAGCCAAGTTGGCACCAAGAGTTCCATCAGAGAAAAACAAGAAAATAGTGCAGAAGACAGAAACCATGGTAAAGAAAGAGAAGTATTAAGATGGTAGACCAAAAGGAGCAGAAGGTTTCAACAAAAAACAACAAGATTTTTTTAGATCCTGCCAGCAAGCCACTGGTAAAGCACTCCCATGAAGACGAGTTTCACTGAAGCAGTGAAAACTAAATCCAAATGACAAATTCCACCAGACTCTGATAGGAAATAACTATAGATACAGACCCGGTAAGGTTCCCTTCTCTACTGTGCCTGAGGCATCCCACCCCTCCCACACAGGGGCTGGAAGTGCCCGGTGACAATTACAGGGCCTGGAAACACTGAAAAGTTTGTAGACCGACAGATTCAACGCTTCCTTCCAAATCTGCAGTACAGAATCAATGTACTACTACTGCCCGGTATACAATTTGGGTTTGAGTCCTGGCTGGTGGTGGTACAATCTCTTGGGAGCTCAGTGATTCGCCTAATTTAATATCTCCCATACTGAATTGTCGAGAGGCTCTCAAAGTACCACACCCGAACTACCTAGGTCAGAGTCATTGGGTAGGAGGTGTTGGTTTAAAGTACAGATTTATGGCCCTCAACCTACTAGTTCAGAACATCTGGGCGTGAATCTTGGGAGTCTGCACTGTTTCAAAGTCCCCTTATAATTTCTATACAACAATAAACTGAAAAACACTGAGTACGAGGCAGTGCTCTAGAACAGAATAAGCTTTTTACGAGGCAAAGGATGATGATTTCTTCGGAGACCGAGGACGTTGCCACGCTGGAATCCACTGGGGGAGGCCTTCCCCGCCCCCGGGTTTGCCCCGACCTGGGCCTGCGCGACAGGGCCCGCTCACCTGGATCTCTGGAAGAAGCTGAAGGAGGACACGTCGTACGCAGCTTTCAGGAGCACTGCCTTGGACTCGCCTTTGTAGAGGACGCTGAGGCTGTACAGCTTCATGGCGCCGGCGCCCTGGGGCCGCCCAGCCGGCCGCTGGACCCGCTCGCAGGGAGCACCTACCAGGGGTCGGCTGCCGAGTGGGCCGACTGCTGACGGAGCCGACGCCGGATGCCTCCTCCTGGCTTGGGATTCACTTCCGGTTCCAGTACTGGGGCCGGCTCCCGAAGCTTAATGAAAGATTTTTTTTTTTTCATGTCCCGGATGCAGAAACAAGCGGCCGGAAACACGCGGACGAGGCGTGGCGGGGCGGGGGCTTCCAGCCCGCCGGGCCAGCGGGCGCTGGGTGATCCGAGCAAGGTGGGCGGGGTGCCGGCTCTGTGAACCTGAGACTCGGCGTTCTCGTCTGAGGAATGGCAAGACACTGCCTGCTTCGTAGGGCAGAGCGACAACTTGGGGGCTTTGATTTATGGGCGAACTGCCTTCCTGGAAAGTTTTTTTGTAAATCAAATCCCCTTTTGAATGCAGAGCAGACTTTTTTATTCTAGAGAATCCTCCAGGGATGTGAAGACATGCCTTCATTTTCATAGGACTCCCACCTGCCTTGCGTGGGAGCGAATCCCTCAGCACGAGCCTCACGGCCAAGGGCAGCTGGGGCCTGTCCACACCTGGGTAACGTGATAGCCCTAGACAGCGATGATTTCGATGGCGATCTGCTGACCTGACAGAGTAGCAGATTTCCTTGCCTCTGAAAAGGGCAGAAATTCAGTTCCATACCGCAAGGAGCAACTTGATGGAAAATACATGCGTTTTGCTGGAGATGGTGAAATAATACTTTGTGGATGAAAGAGGGTGAATGTGGCATAGTTTCCTGAGGATACCACATCTTGCCCATTTCTAGCTTATTAAATGACATCAGAAAGAAACTTGCAAAACACACACATAAAAGAACGTTGGTCTTTGAAAGCGTGGCATTTAAGTTACACAATCATCTTCCAGAGGGTATCAGGCAGCCAGGTCTGAAATGATAAGAAATGGATGTTATATTTGGAAAATCAGTAGCATCACTAATTACGCCAGCTCAGGGTTTCTTGCCTGACACTATTGACATTTTGGTGGGATCGTTCTCTGTTGTGGAGGCATCCTGTGCACTGTAGGCAGCATCTCAGGCCTTGTAACCACTAGATGTCAGTAGCTCCCGTCCCCTAGTTGTGGCAACCAAGAATGTCTCCAGACATTGTTGAATGTCCCCTGGGAACAGTGGTTTAAATATTTCTGTGGCTGAAGGAAGGTCCTCACCACTTACCCTTTCACTCAGCGCCTCCCTCACCAATGCTCTTTCCTGGGTATTTCCGAGTGCAGAGGGTGGGAAGGCTTTTCCACATACCCTCCACTTTGGTACTGTTAAAACAAAAATCATATTAAGGCAATAATAGAAATTGACTGAAATTTATCTACTGGAGAATTTGTAAATCGGGTCACATTTCGACTAGAGGGTCAAAAATGTTCCAAAGAAGAAAGAACTTCCAAAAATCCTTACACCCCATGTCTCAGTCATCTAGTGCTGCTATAACAGAATACCACAAGTGGATGGCTTTAACAAAGACAAATTTATTCTCTCACTGTCTAGTAGGCCACAAGTCCAAATTCAGGGCATCAGCTCCAGGGGAAGGCTTTTTCTCTCTGTAAGCTCTGGAGGAAGGTCCTTGTCGTCAATCTTTCCCTGGTTTTGGACCTGCTCAGCACAGAAACCTCGGTTCCAAAGGATGGGGGCTCTGCTCCTGGCACTGCTTTCTTGGTGGCATGAGGTCCCCTACTCTGTGCTCACTACCCTTTCCTTTTATCTGTTGTAGATAAAAGGCAATGCAGGCCACACCCCAGGGAAACTCCCTTTACATTGGATCAGGGATGTGACCTTAGTAAGGGTGTTACAATCCCACCCTAATTCTCTTTAACATAATCTAATCTTGCCTTATTAACCACAGACAGAGATTAGGATTTACAACACATAGGAAAATTACAATCACAAAATGGAAGACAACCACACAATACTAAGAATCAAGGCCTAACCAAGTTGATACATATTTTTGGGGGGCACAGTTCAATCCATGACACCTCCATTTGATCAGTATTGCCATGGAAAAAAAGGGCCAGAATAGAACTGATAAAACAATTTGTGGTCATGAGGGATTCCATACAGCATTGTCTTGGGGAACAATTAAAATTACTGATTTACCCTAAAACATAGCTCCTAGCCTGACCTTTGGAGTTTTTGTTGAATTTGGATGGAGATGATTCTTTTAAAAGAGCGTAATGCCTAAGGCAAAATGTTCTTTACTAATTAATGTAGACCATTGTTTGACTTACAGGTGACTTTTAGGAGACCAGTATTCTCAAGGCTCACGGTTCAAAGAGCACCTTAGGGCGACAGCTTGGGTGGATCACCTCAACCTCCATGGATCCAGAAATCTAGATTCCCCAAGAATTAAAACTCTGTTCCTCAGTTTTCTCTTTTGATCAGGATTCTGCTATAGAATCTTTGATGAAAATCGTTGAGTAATGATAGCCAGGCACCATCCAATTTTTTCTGGTCTTGTGGAAAAGAGACAGTTGTTAGCAGAGGCAATCAGATGCGGAGTCTAGTTCCTCCTTTGTCTAGCTCTCTTTTTTCTGCTGCTCCAGACGAATAAAGACTAATTATTGCACCTTGGATGGCCGTTCACAAGCTTTTAAGACCCCAGACACTATAAAGTGAATTGGGAGGTAGAACAGAAACACAAAGAACAGTATTAGGCCAATTGACTAAAATAAGCCATGAAACTAAGAAAATAAGTCCTATGAGGTGGCTGGTTATACATAAGCAGCATTAGTAACTGCTTCTCATGTGCATCAGCAGCAACTACATTTTGGAAAACCTCAGATTGCATATGTTGAATAATTTCTAAGAGTGGAAACAAAGTTAAAACAATGCTAGAGATTCATTAGTCAATCATACAGTTCGCAAATTGGGCAACACACAGCGTGAGACTGAGTGTTCCAAAAAAGATGGGGCAGTATTGGGGGTTAGATAGTCTGAGGAATTAAGAAAGGGGAGTCCAGGCAGTTTCAATCAGTCTTTCGGATATTCATCAAAATGTCCCTTGAAGTCCTTTCTTCCTCAGAACTGTGTTTGGCTAAGAAGACAAATGATGCAGGTCTCAAGTGGTCAGTGCCTGCTGACACAGGTTCCTAAATAGCTAGGCACCTGCTTGTCTGGAATTTAGGAGCAAAAGACACGGGGTTAGTTACAAATAAAGCTAAAGAAACAAGCTAGTTATAATAATTTCTAAGAATTCAAGGTACTTATCATCTTAAACTTTTGCCCTGTGAAACCAGGCATCACCCATGTTCTCTGGATTTGTCATGAAAGTCTCCATGTTATCCTCGGATTCCACATTTTGTTTTCAACCTTCACACGTATCATTAATATAGACACAGCAACATCATCTATTAAGGCACAGACTCCTCCTTGGGAGACTAACAGGAAATCTAATGCTAGTCTATTTTGTAAAGTTGTATCTCAAAATTCATATATTTCTCTAGTTATGGTCTTTATCACTTTGCTAAGTTTTCAACAGAAATTTCTAATTCAAGGTTTACAGGATCTAAAACCATTGATACCTAATAATTTTTCTTTTAATGCAAGACTCAGCTGTTCAGTAACTAATAGTATTATGCTGGCTATAGGGTATCCTACTGTAAGGGTTTTTCTCATCTCCTAATTCTATTTTTAATCCTTTTAAAGTTTCTTTTCTAGTCTTAGTTTTTACATTCCTCTGATAGTTCTTGTTTTCCCTTTTGGTTATTTGATTATGTATAGACACATGGGAATAGCATAACAAGAACCAGTCTAAACTGCAGGTAAAACAAAACCGTTAGATAGTTTAGGAGAAAATGGTTTCTTATATTCAGAAAATAGAACATCAAAACATCAGCAATATTTCCCATAAATAATAAAACCCATAACAATCTTCTAGTTCCCTCAGTCCTATGTAATTAATTTCTGTTCCACTAAATTCTAGATCAACAGTCTGTGAATCTGTCAGCTTCTACACAAGAGTTCTGGAAATCTTGATTTAGTCCAGTAATATCCACATTCAAAATATCTACCATAGGCCTTTCCATAAGTCTCTGATATAGCTCGTTTTTGTTAAAATACTCTGGTCAAGTCCTTTCAGGGAGTCAACAAAGTAAAAACTATCTGCAGATAACAAAATTTAAAAATGGCCATGGTTAACTGATTAGTAGTAATAATAATAAAAAAAAAAACCTGATGATAATTCATTACAAAAGTGATGCAAAGCCAAATAAAGTCACTTAAAAAAAAAACTTTAGATATAATATATACCAAGATTATAAAGTCTCTAAACATTTCAATATTATTAAACTCCATAGGCAAACAATGTGAATTCCCAGTTAAAACCATTGGCTTCAATGATGCTAGATTCAAATTAAAGAAATAAAGCCGTGACCAAGCTAGTAATTTAAAATCTTGTCTAATATCAGGCAAAACTTCACAGAAGAGATACTGACTCATACAAATTTTTAATCCAAATAAAATTAGACACTTCTCCTGATTTGGTGACAAGTTTTGTGCAACTCACAACATAGTAAATAAACCTTATTATTTCTAGCACATTTTCCCTTTACAAAGTGGGAATAAATCTTTTGTGACTTTTTACAAAGTTCCATAAGACAAGATTTTAGAAATATAAGACATCACTTTAGGACAAAAAGTCATCAGGGATTTTAACATTTGTTCACCAAGAAACAATATTGGATAGCTGAAAGAAAAAACCTTAACTTTTTCAAAAGCCACAGGACTTGGTTTTCAAGAATATGATAGTGTAATGAGACACAGAATCTTTGCCTTCTAGGCAGATTACATGGAAGTTAGGAAGTTAAACCTTCCATCTGGTAATTGAAGAAAATTTTGTCATTTAACAGAGAAAACAAATTTTTACATATTCTTAGATACTAAAGCCCTTTAAAATATCATAAATTAAACCCATTAAACTTTAGCCATGTTTAGCTTATTAACAAGACAGAACCTCAGATGGAGGGATCCCAGACCCTTTTGACTCGGCTGAACTCGTTTTAAAACTACCCGAAGCCTCTTGTCAAACCCAGTCTGTCTTAGTTAT